CTTCATGACAAATACTCTATACAGAGACCCCTAGGGCACTAAATTGCAGTATTTACGGTTTAGGTGACATTCCCTAGTATGATACACTAAATTTGCACAGGAAGCTACAGAGTGACATAAATCTTACTCTAAGACATCTTCCTGCAGCTCAGTTCAATTGCAGGTAACAAATGTATTTCCAGAAGTCTGCTTGGCATACACATGAATAAAACATGTACTTCTATGCAGCTTCCGATTTATGCATACCATCACCTTATAGATGAGAAACACAAATTCCTGATTACTTCAGGAAAATGACAACGGCTTTGTTCTTTGGAATCACCTCTGCCATTCAGCCATCTACCTGTACAGATGCACTGCAGTGAGCCTCTTATCAAAGAAGTAAAATGAGAAATCTTGCCTAACTCAGTCACATTCTGCCCTTGACAGTACCTACTGATTCAGACCATGGCTGACAAACCAGTAGTGCTTAGGTGAAGCCCTTCTCTTATGCCTTAATAACCTCGTTGTTTTCAGCTGATATTTAACACCTTCCAGCCTTCAGATTGAAAAGTTAGCAGCCCCTCCCTTCTGTCCTGAACAAAGGTTAGTTTTATCTATGTAACTTAAGAGATATTTGTTTCTCCTATTCTTGACGACATCCAGTATTAGCACTACACAACCTATTATACAACATTTACCTTTGCAGAGTTTCCCTATTATCTAATACCAATTTTTGGTGCAGGTTACGTCACTTATCTCTTCTCTTTTTGCCGTGGACATGGAAGGACTACTCCCTTTATAGTGGATTTTTTTACACATTGATGATTATATTCTTTATTCCACCAAATCTTCTGTTCTTTAGCAAAGTAACAGTTTGCCTCTCTAAGCAGAAGAATATTAATCTGTAAAGAAAATGAATACTGATGCTACCAAAAAAAAGTCTTAATTTATGCCCTATTTATTAACATCAACAAGAGGAGGCAGATCATCCTTCTCTTAAGTTAACTTCCTTTAGCTGTACATAGAATCATAGACTATAATTCAATTGTAGCCATAATTAACAGTTTATTTATTTCCTTAGTTGAGATGCTTTTTTTTAAAAGCTGCTCCAACTGACTATCCTAAATTTCAGTTTGTATCTTAAGTATCACTGGGTAAAGTTTTGACAGTATAGATTCAGGATGAGAAAAACAGCTAGTGAACACATTTATCTTACTTAACATTAGCTGCCTGTAAAGATCAAGGCTGTTACTACTAGTATATATGTTAAATACTGAGGTCCCTGTTCCAGGCAGTGAAGTGAGACTTCCCAATTAAGTTTCTAGATAGCATCCACTTACAGTAAGCGCATAACGGTTAACACAGAGACAGAGCAAAGCCTTCAGCAGCTTCCCATGACCTAAAGTAGAAGCTGCTCCAGATCAAATTTAAGCTTATTTTCCAGTGGGCAGTCATCCAGACCACAAAAGCTACCACCATTCACAGACTGCTGCCATGCAGCTTCACTGTCCAAGGTTTTAAAATTTCATAACATTTACCCTTCACATAAAAAAATTTTTGCAGTACAATCAATGCAAACCCCTATACTAACACAGCATTACATTTGAGATTTCAGAGTACACAAAAAAATCAAAGATTAGGGCTAACGTTTCTAGAGTAACATGAAGCCCTGGCCTCTTTGTGTTATCTGCTATGATAAGGTACTACGTCACACGATCCTGTACCACTGAGAAACGTGACAGACAGGCAAATGAGCTATGACAATGCTAACCTTATAACCACTCCTCCAAGCTGTCAAGAATAGTTCTCATTTGGAAATTTTATCATAGCCAGCATTTCAGGAGTAAGAGGATAACTTGTCAGTGTGCAGAGATTCCTTATGCTACAGATGCTGTATTGCATATTCTCAAAAGCTGACAAAAGTGAACCTCTCCCTTCCCTTTCATTCTCTGCAACTGCCTGAAGGGAGGGTGTAGTCAGGTGGGGGTCGGGCTCTTCTCCCGGGCAACCAGTGACAGGACAAGAGGGCACGGCCTGAAACTGCATCAGGGGAGGTTCAGGTTGGATCTCAGGAAGCCCTTCCTCACGGAGAGGGTGCTCAGGCACTGGGATGCACTGCCCAGGGAAGTGGTGGAGTCACCGTCCCTGGAGGTGTTTAAGGAGAGGCTGGATGTGGCACTTAGTGCCGTGATCTGGCCAATGTGGTGGTGTTGAGTCATGGGCTGAACTTGATGATCCGAGAGGTCTTTTCCAGCCTCGACAATTCTGTGATTCTGAAATACTGGTAGTATAGTAACTATTGGAATAAAAATGAGATCTAGCAGCTTTTTCTTTTACTTTGTCCCCCGAGTACACCTTGGAAAGCATTTACGATGTTCCCAGAGATGTATAGATTTATCTATGTTTTTTATCCAAAACGCTCAATAGAATCCTGAGGTCACATTCCCCACCATCTTAGGAGGAAGAATGAATGTGTTGTTACAGAAATAGATGAACAGGGTGCAGCCCGAATATATTGACAACTGGGTAAAAAACATTAACTAGGATTCTATTTGATAAAGCTTGCATTTGATACATGCATCAGAGAGAGGAGTTAGGGCTGAACCTGATTTCAGTTTTACACATCTCTGCCCTGAAAGCTTGGGACTGCAACCCTACTAGTGAACTGTTGGGCAGAACTAACGTTTAAAAAGCCCAACATAAAAACTATTTGCCCTGAAGGCTATGAGTGCAAAATAATGGTAAACAAATTTGATGTGAGAAGTGCTATGATCATGAACAAGCCCATTCTGATTCTGGTGTTGAGGATGAAGTCAAACATGGAAGACACGTGAAAATACATTTGCTTTGATTGAAACACATCAGCCAGAACACGCACCCAGCAGCAGCCATGCCAAAGCCTCCACAGAGGAAAACACAATAACTTGGTGCAACAGAGAGAAATCTGCCTCGGCAGCAGAGGTGGCATAAAGCAGAGACTGGTACCAGTTCTTTCGTCAAGCACAGACTGCGTATAAACAGGCCTAAAGAGCAATGGAGTTAAACAGTCAGGTACCTCAAGGAACACAGATTCTCTATGCTTTCAATGGCAAAGGGGTGCATGGGGTGCACAACCGGCATACTTGGGTCATTTATTCCTGGAATCACTCGTCATCTGCATTGATGAGATAAGGAAGTGGTTTGAGAGAACAGCCTGACTTGAAACTGGGTGATTGAACACTACGAGTTGTCCAGGTGGCAATTTTGAGGAGTAATTCTTCCCTCTGCTTGGCTCTAGTAAGACTCATCTACAGTACTGCATCCAGGTACAAGAAAGACACAGACTTATCAGAATGGGTCTAGACTGCTGTTTAGTCTAAATTGGCGTACTTCAAACATGGTAAGCAAAACCCTTGGTGAAGTGTCCCAAGTACAATCACAGAAGAGCAGGCATTGCAAGGGACCTCAGAAGAACATCTAGTCCAGCCCCCCTGCCAGAGCAGGATCACCTACAGTAGGTCACACAGGAACGCATCCAGGCGGGTTTTGAATGTCTCCAGAGCAGGAGACTCCACAACCTCCCTGGGCGGCCTGTGCCAGTGCTCTGTCACCCTCACAGTAAAGAAGTATTTCCTCACATTTATGTTGTTCCTGCTGCACAAACAACTAAATATCATATTGGAGCACACTGATGTATCACAGCTATAATTACAATTACGCAAACATAGTATGACTGACAGAGATTTTGACTATCAGCAGAAGCTGAACTGAGGCTGCAATACACTGAACAGCAATATCCAGTGTTAATGGCAGACTAATTCAATGGAAGACTCTAGTTAATTTCCTCAAAAAGTTACCTCATTGTGATTTTGAGTATGTGCACCCAGCTAAAAAAAACCAAAAAGCAGTCGCACAAATGCCCACAAAACTGCTCTTACTAAACATTCATGGTTCAAATAATTAAAGAAAAAATAATCAATCAGCAATCTGCACGTGCAATTGCATGATATTTTCTAAGTGGACATACAATTGAATACTGTGTTTAAATTTTTTTCAGAACACAATGCTCACAAAGTGAAACGTTTCATTTCTTAAGCTGAGCAAGAAATACCAGTTTTCCCACTATAATTTTTTTTTCGTATCAGATACTCAACTGTATGAAATAAATGGAGTTGACAGTCTGCATTAGTGAATGGCATCAGATTCTCCCTCAAAATCACTAGGAAGCAGTGTATGTATTTTTTTATTTAAAAACACTATTCCCCTCTCCTCTTTCCTTGCCTAGAAAGCAACACTACCGTATCATGCAGACCACATTATCTCACAAAGACACAAAAGTCTACAAAATAAAAAATGGGATATAGAAGTGTAATGAAAGATTAAATACCTAGCACCATTTAACATGCACTGAAATGCCTTGCACTGAAAAGGAGTAAACAATCAAAAACTGGTGATTCTTCATATGAAACAGGCTGAGAAACTCACTACCATGGGATACTGAAGAAAACTAGAAGCTCCACAGCTTCAAAGAGAGAGTCAGTAAAAGCACAGGGAAAAAAATAAGTTAAAAAAAAAAAATCTATCAAAGGCTATCAGACACATTAGATTACCTCATCAAGTCCTTAAGTCTCTAGTAGCTCAGAAAATACGTGGAATATCATTGTCAAATCTTGTTAATATCATTAGATACTAGAGAGATAACTGACAGTGTCCAAATGTAAGCAAAGGGGAAAAACGACTCAGTACAGCTACTGAGTCTAGGAATATAATCAGTTCGAGAAAGCAGACTCAAAACATCTAAAAAAATTTAATTTAAAATACATTACAGTTTACAATATGTAGTACATAAGTACCATTACACACATATGCACCACACATTACATAATTACATATATATTCACATCTATAAAATGTAAACTTATATAATAATGAATTCATCACTTTGCTTTGACTTTCACGAAGGTATCACATTTTGCTGTATACTGCTGAAGTTGTGGATATTTTAATGGTCATTATAGTGCAACTCATATAGAAAATTTTCATTTTACTACATTACAAGATGTAGCAGTGGGTGGTTCATCTGAATAATCTGGACTGTATTTCTTCCACAGAAAACTTTCATTTTTTTTCCAGAGAGAACTTTCATAAACTTCTCTGTCTTCTGTCACAGGTGGATGAGTTGGTCTTTCACATAGCTTCTCTATGACTGCTATGTCAGTGAGCTTCCTGAGGCTCTCCTCATTCTGCTCATTCAGCATGTCCCAGAAATCTTTTGGTCTCTCCTTTGTTTTTTCTACTTGCCCTGAAGGGAATCTCCTTGGTGATTCTGCAGGTACATTTCCATCATTTCTGAAGAGATCACTGAGAATAGAGGTATCTCCAAGTAAGTCCACAAAAGACTTCTTCTTACAAGTCTGAGCTTCTGTCTCCCCATTTTCTGACTGAGACAGGGATCTTTTCCTTGGCAGCTGTGCTCCCTCTGAGTCCTGCTGCCCTTCACAACTTTTTACAGGCAGCACCTCAATTATTTCTGATTTACTGCTTAATGAGCCAGTTGCCATAAAATCCTTGAATGCCTGACTGTTTCTGCTTTCGGTATGTTGAGTAGCAACAGTGGGTGATGGTTTACATTTTGCATCAACACAGACATCTTGCAAGTCCAAGTCATTGTGAAGCTGCTCTATTCCTTCATGGCTCTGTGTTTCTGTAGTTCCACTCAGTACTCCTTTAGCTGATGAAGATCTAGACTTAGTTCTTCCAAAATTAACAATGGACTTTCTTTTTCTGGAGTATGCTGAATCCAATTCTCTATAGTCATGTGAAGCTTTAGCTGGTATTTCAGCTGGGAAAAAAGACTCCATCTCTGGATGCTTGAAAATATAGAATTCTTTCAACATCTTCTGCCTTATTTCTGATGTAGCTTTTGCAATATATTCTGCAAGTTCTTCCACTGATCCCATATTGAAGTGGGATACCATTTCTTTGAATTGCCTCCTGTAATGATAAAGAAGGAAAAATGTGTTAATATTGACACCTTTAACTAGCAGCAAAATCAGCTTTCAATCAATTAATTCATTTGACCTACTTCACATATGCCAGAAAGTAATCACTAACAGTAACTTCCTTATTAGGAACATTGCTTCTCTTAGCAAACAGAATAAAGAATAATGACCTCAGAAGAACCCAGTGTGATTTCCTCAGCCTTATGATTCAAAGACTCACTGACTTTTGGTGTAGGTAAGCTAACACACCAAAGGTACTTCAGAGATTTAGCTACCAAAAAGATGCACAAGAACAGATGGTAGAATGTTTTTTGGGAAAAAAAGAGTAGTTGCTCAAACTCCTTTTAAAAGACTAGCTGAATAAAAGCTGGAGAAACGCACTCACAGGAGACAGGAACTGTCCTCTCCATCCTACCCACCAAGCTATGCAGTGTCTGCTAAGAGGCCAAGGTCTAAACGAGACCACCCCAACAGAGTTAGCCGCAGTTTGGGGTCGGGTAACCTAACTGGAAGGCTGGAGAAATAGGTTTACGCTTCCTTGTCAAAAAAAGGATATGAAATGTGTTACCCTTCCTGTATGAGGTCTCCAACAGGCAGTGAGATTTAGCACTGTTTAGCCTCAAATACTGCTTGACTGGCTAACTCCAACTACACTCTCTCTGTGTGTGTTGTGACTGTAGACAGCTTCCCACTCCACCTTACAACTACAGCACAAACTGAGGCACCCAACCATCCTCATATATTGCACAGCGCACCCAGGTGTACTACAAGGTCTAACTGTGAGCTAAGTCCTAACAAATGACCCGCTTATCATTTAAGAGTGAATGTGCTAAAGGTTTTTGCTAGATATGGCTTTAGGATCTCCGAATAACAGTCATCTCACTGACGGAAAACTTATAGAAATTAATAACTATGACTATGATTTTAAATATTTTTAGCATGAAGGGTTCTCCCCCACCTGTCTCTTAAATATTTAGAATCTTCAGTATCTATAACAGTAAGCAAATCTGGCGCTTCAACATCAGTAGTTCGGATAGCTGAGGCTAGCTGGCTAATATGTTCAAAACACTTGCATGTATTACTTAGATACTAACTCTCATGCAGTAATTTAGTTGTCTCAAGGCCAAATTGAAAATAAATACCAAATCCCAGTTCTATAGGTTTGCCTAGTTAACTACAGCTTTCTGTCTCCTGTTTCCACATACCACCTGGCTATTTTTATCAAACTTCTGTCTAGACAACAATGGAATTTAAGTTTGGTATTAAAAACAGCAATAGTTTTGGGAAAAGTGGAAAACAAAGAGATAGAAAAAAATACTATCCTTCCAAAAATTAGGGGAAAACTAGAACATTAGAATAAAAACTAAAAAATAGAGCCCTATGTCAAAAAATAAACACAAAGTCAAATTCTTTTTAAGAGTCTTTCAGTTGAAGTCATGAGACCTGGGCAAAACCATTAGGCAGTCAGTAGGCAGTCAGCTGCTCATGTTATATAATTCTTGTTTCTATGCAGTTTAAACACTGGTTGGTAGTACGGCATGATGCACATACCATGAACACACATGGTGATGACACAAGCACAGCTCTGTAATATATGACACATTGAATCAACATGTTAAAGTGATTTGTGAATTGAGTTCTATTTATTAATCAATTACGGCTACTCTTTGTATAGCATGAAGTTTCCCATTAGTTCTGCTCTTGCCATCATAAATTATCAAAATATCCCCAAGTATGGCTGAAACAAAGATCAGAGCAACTGCCCAGAGAAAAGTTCATTTTGACCTTGGAATTTTACTTCCATCTCACCGAAACAGTCTCACCTGCGAATTCCTTTGGGTGTCTTTCCAACCAAGAAGGTGGTTGAATCTACTCTGTGTGCTTTTTTGTTTTTCTGGGTCACAGGATAAGTAACATACAGGTGATGCTGATTACTGCTCGTCAACATTTCTTGCCCTCCTTTAACAACGCTCTTCTCCACTGTGTCGTCTTCTGTGTTTTCTTCATTTTTCTAGTAAAATGAGACATGGAAATGGTCAAAACAGCCGTGTCTCTGACATAACAACGAGTTCTGCTGTACCCAATTCTGTCACTCTTAGGTAGCGCTCAGTGGTTTGAGTGCTGAGACTGAAATGGAGAGCTGCAGAGTAGATTCTCTACTGTCACAAACTTTCAGGGACACTGAAGGTAAGTCTTGGTTCTCCAAGAGTACAGTGGGATATCTTTCCACACTGATTAATTGTGAGACTAATCAAAAGATCTCTGTAATGCAGATCTTCTCTAATGCAAAAACGGGTTATGCAAATATTTAATCCTGTGCCAGAGGACCCAAATCTCAGTTACAACCTCCAAATATTACTACAAAATAAAAAACGCCTGTGTCAATAGCTTATAGTCTTACAGGCTACAAAAAAAGCTTCCTGGATTAATTTATCATGAATAATAGATTATCTGGATTCGCTGCTTCCTGCTTGTTAATATGTATTACATAATTTTTGCATAGTATGTATCTAGAACTCTTAAGTTACGTCAGCAATTTAACACTTATAAACTATAAATAATCACAATACTACTCAAGGAACAAAAGTTTAGTAAAAACATTTTTGTCAGTATCACAATAATACAAACAATTGTAAAGATACTTTTACAAGAGGTATCAATATAGCTGCTTCTTAAGGAAAAAAAATCACACATTACAATAAATGAAAACAGTAACAAGCACATGATGCTTCTTCCATGGAGAATGCCAATTTTAAATGCAATAGTCATAAAAAGCTAATGTTTGAATCAAATTCGAGAAGATTGTGCTACAGACCAACTCGCCCTGCATTGACAGTCAATGTTCTGCACAAAAATATAATCTTACTTACACCTCAGTTATTTTTCCACAAATTCCCATAACTGTCAAAAAAATTTCCCCTTTGTTGAAAAGCCAGCCAAGGAAAATATGAAAAATAGAAGAATGTGTTGGAAGAGCAGGGAAAACTAGAAAAAAACAGAACAGCGACATTATCTTTTTTTTTTTTTTTTTCTCCAAATAAGATCAGAGTAAAAAATAACTGCTTAATGATGTCCTCGGTCCCTCCACTACCACTACTTTAGAGATGAAAACACAAACTTTGTTCACACCTTGCCACCTGCAGTTCAAAATTTGCTTTTGGATCTACAATGCTCCTTCCCAAAGTGTTTCTATTTGACCCATGTGCACTTCCTTTATTTCCATGGCCTGTTCACAACATTCTCAAACTTGAGGATCTCAATCCATTACTTTAGTGAGTAACCTCAAACTAGCACAGAGAGAGATGCCAATATTAAGGAACCTATAGGCATAAATTTTCACTCTTTAAGCTAAACACACAACTCTAAAGATTAAAATCTTACCGTGCTATTAGAAGTTAGATTATACAAAGCTGAAACCAAGGCCTTTATTGAGACAAAAATTCTATTCTCCCACTAATTTTATGATGACAGTAACAAAATTAAGACTGAATTACAAGGTTATCTGTAGCAGTTATCTTGCTAATTCTGCACGTATTTAATGTGTTTGGTTTTTTTTAAGAGACACATAGATAATACAAAATTTTACTTGGAAGATGTATTTTAAAAGAAGAGAGCAAAGCTACTTTCAATATATATTTACTTTGATGGAATTTTTGTAGAAAAAATATTCATGGTATTTTGAATCTCACTATGATAATACCTAGTGTATTTGTCGCTCTGTCAGGAAATCAGAATTGTATTATTTAATTCAAGCAATTGTAACTTGGGTAGAATACAAGCCTAACCACATCAATTAATGTGTGTCTTAAAAGTACTCTAAACGCCCATATATGTGCATTCACCCACCTATTATTAAACAAGATGAAAGCACAGGAAGCAGTAATACTTTGTTTTTTACGTTCACTGAAACACAGAAGATTAAAAATCTCTTTGTGAAAAAAGCCAAATGCTGTAAACACACGGAACATTATAAAATTAGAGAGAGAACCAGAATTAATGTAAAAAGTACTGCTAACTGCAAATAAACTCAAAAATGGTGTACTGAACTATGGATAGACAAAAGTCTTAAGTACTTTGGTCCACACTGCCAAACTCAAACGAAAACCGCAAAATACCACTACGCGTACACAAAGAGCTCCTCTTCTTCTACCTAAATTAGCTGCTCAAAGTTTTCTCCTCCAGGTAAAAAAAGTTACTGTAAACAAGTTACAGTAACAGAGCTGCAGGAGCTAATTCCAGGGCAAGCCCACAGTCACTGTAGTTACTCCTGAAAAACTTATCTTAGCTCTCTGGAGCAAAGCCAGTTGGTTAAATGGCACCCAGTTAGGCTGAAACACAACAACTGGCTCTGTTGAATTTGGGAAGGTTTTTGAAAGTTTGCCAACTTAAATCCAGCCCCCAACTCCCAAATCCAGCAATTTCTTTTGAAAAAATGATAAACATTTTGTCAGTAAAATTAAAACACTTATTTCAGTTTTTCTTAAGATGTCTCCATGTTTGCTAAAGGTCAAATTTGAAGTTTGTTACTCTGAGTAATACATGGATGAGGTTCTAAGTAGAGATAAAGTTTTACACAAACAGATGAAAATATAGATGAAAATACTCCCTGTATCTTTCTCCTAGCGTTACCATTTTAAAAAGTGAAAATTCCAATCAGTGTTCCAGCACTGTTAACATTCCACACTATTTTGCTTTCTTTTGAATTTGACTTTATGTATCACTCTAATTCCTCCCTCTCATGGCCAACTCCTTCAGATTCTCCTTCTATGTCTGCCTTCTAACTCATCAACTGAAATCTACTTCACAATGAAAGTTTTCTTTCAACAGCTTTCTATTTTTCACTCCTTAAGCACTCTTCTACCAAACTACTGCGTGCCCCCATTGTTTCCTGCTACATGAAATCCCATGCTGACTTCACAGCACTGTTCTTGTTAATCTGAATTATCATGCACAACATATGCATAACTACATCACAAAGAAAGACTGAAATCAATGCAATTTGATTCAGCTAGGAACCTCTGACTTTTTCTTACACTATTGATATTAGCACATTTAATCTACATATATTACTGATCACTAGACCCTTTATGCATTAATAACTGTTACAACTGAAATAATGGAATAATAAAGGAAACAAAAATCCTTTGACACAAGACATATCCTGTGCATTTGGAAGTGCTCATTATCTTTGTTTAACTTACTGTTAATTAATATATTTAAGTAAGTACAAATTCTTTGTCCTGGAATCAAGATTCCATTCAGTACCTCAATGAGTAATAGCATGTTTTTCTCTCACACTAAAAAGCTTAAATCTTCCAAATACATGATTATGGCCAAGTAATTTCAAATGACAACTAAAAATCACAGTATAGAAATCCAAGAGCATTCTTCCCAAACATTTTATCATCACATACATACTGTGTGTTAAAACCTTCTTCATCTACTTCTACATATATTTTACAAGAATTTTTACAAAAAGATTGACAGTAATCACAAAAGTATTTAGTCTTTTCTAACCAATATGCACTTGCAGTGCATGTTAAGAAATGTCCACTGTTCCAAGTGGAAAAATTTCACTTAAGTTTGACCACATACTTATTGGTCATCTGATAAATTAAGTGAGCCTATACTGGATAATCTGTAACATCATTATACATTTCTGTGTTCTCCACATTTTCTCCTTTCTCAAACCAGTATCTTGGTGGAGGAAAAATCGTGCAGTAAAAGAATTCCTTTGGCACCAAATATAAAAGATTTTGATTTAATTTCTGAAAGTAACAATTTTACTCCTTTGTTCAACTTCATGCACTTCTACTTTGACAAGAAAATCTTCACGCAAGGTTAAAAAGGAAGCAACAATTTATTTTGCACAGATGCAGGATGTTTAGTAGAAGGCAACACTTTTTGGATTCAAAAAGTGACATGAGAAAAGGTTGCGCTACAGGAAACAACCCACTAAATAGAAGGAAATAAAGTTAATGAAAGTACAGTAAAATGGAACTGTGAAGTGCTATTGTGAACTAGGACAATACTGTGCAAAACTGCAGCCATTCCTTTTACACTTGTTTTCTTATCCTATCCGCCCTTCATTTACTGCTCTTACTCTGAAGAGGCTTTCCATATATTGCAACAGGAAAGAAGAAAGATTATTACATAGCTGTGCAAAGATTAGTTTTTAAAATATTCAGAAAGCCCAAGGACTCCTACCACACATGAAAATATACTTCAAAGAAAGCATTTTCCACCTTTCGTGTTCTATTTAGTCTATGGGGTTTTCAACACAAATACATTTTATCTTCCTGCCACAGAAGATATTTCCTTCCCTTCCTTCTTCTTTTATGATGTATGTTTCTTGTTCTTAAAAGTATCTATCAAATTTTGGCTACTAATACCAAGTTTCTGTTTCTTTCAGTTATGTATTACATATGCAGTTACATACAGGCTGTAATCAAGAACCCAACAAAAGTGGTGGCATCTGCACTCTGAAAGTGCCAAAGCAGCTCATACCTATGAGTAACATTCTTCAAAAAGTATGAAGACATGCAGCTGAGCATCTATTAGAGCTCTGTGACAATCATCTCCTGCTGCATAGTTACAGAAGATTTAGCAATATTACACACCTACCCAAAGCAATTCTTGTCTGCCTTTGAAAATACAGAACTTCAGTGTCTGTTCTTCCTACCATACGCATGAAGAGATGGCTCTACACTCCAGAGCGATGACTGGCCAGCTTAAGCATGTGACTTCCCTCCTGCTCTCTTGCCCTTTTGCAAGGCAAAAGAGAATGGTTCATCTTTTCAAATACAGCAAGATGAAAATGCATGGGAAAGTAAGCGAGCAGAGGCTAGGAGTAAGATGAGGAACTGCCACAAATGCTAATGTCCGAGTTTGAGCTAAACAGAACCAATTCTGTTTAGTGTTGTCGCACTTCCTCAAGTCACCAGACTTAAAGGATACTAACTTCTTTCAAAAGGCCAAAACCGAACTTGTAAACATGTTTGCATAATTATT